GGTGGATGGATGGGGGATGGATGGATGGATGGATAAATAGATGGGTAGACAAATAGATGTATGGATAGAGATGAGTGGATGGATGGATGGATGGATGCATGGATGGATGCATGGATGGATGCATGCATGGGTGGAGAGGTGGAGAGATGGATGGATGGATGGATGGATGGATGGATGGATGGATGGATGGATGGATGGGAAGGGGCAGGGTGGGGCAGGGCTTAGAGGAAGGGGAGGAGTTCCGTGAAAGCAAGGGGTCGCTCTGTGAGAGGAGGAAATCAGATGGGCACAGGGTTCCCACAGGACTGACTGCAGGCCCAGCGGCCACGGGACAACGTGAATGACCGTGATGACAGAGACGAGGAAGGGGGACAGTACAGCCCCAGAGCTGCTAGCCACGCCTCCTCATGGGTGACTGCTGGGGAATAGGGGGGAGGCCCCGCCCCCAGGGTAGCGCTCTGGGAACCCTCCTTCCTCTCCCCGAGGCCTGAGCCGCCGCAGGACCAGGGCCGTGCGCAGGACGTGTTGTCTGTCTGTCCATCCATCCATCCATCCAGGTCTGACTGTCCTCTGCCTCATGCAGCCATAGAGGACGTGGGTGTGGCCACTGCGGGGGAAGTAGGGGGTGCCCTCTTCCAGGGTCCCAGCATTGGAGCATCCAGTCTCCTTAGGCCCACCCTTGACCTCCATTCTCTTCACTAGAGCCACATGGCCACCCACAACTGTCCACATCTGGGGTGCTCCACCAGGGCCCACAATCAGGAAAGAAGTCCTCTCCTCAGCCTAAACCCTCTCTGTCCTATAGTGTAAACTCTTAGACTTGACCCTGACTGAACCTGCCCACACCTCCAACCCTTGGGCAGTCCCAGCGGCCCCTGCACAGCTCCTCCGACCTGCGGTCCAGCGCCTCCCTCCTCCGGAACCCAGACTGAGGAGGCGTGCAGGGGAGGGACGACTCCAGGGGCTGCACGGAGCTTCTCCCAGGCCATTGTCCCAGCTGTGCTGGGTTGGCGGTTTTCCGCCGCCTGGTGGACAACACTGGCACTGTTTGGGCAGAGGACCCCGCCTTCTGAGCTGGGTCCCATCTGAACCTTAGCTTTTGTTGTTTTATGTAGTAGTCAAGTCAATTCTGACCCATAACTGCGCCCTGGCCCCACAATCCCACAGCTGGACCCCTCTATCCCAAGGTCCATCCACAAGTGTCCGTGTCTGGAAACCCGAGCCCAACAGCTGCTCCCTGGCCTTTTCACAGCTGTGAACTTTCAGAAGCAGGTGGCCAAGCCTATCTTCGGAGGCACCTCTTCCAGGGGGAGTTTTATCTAGGGACACAACCCAGGCTCTATGCATGTCCTCGTTAGGAACAGGGCAAGGTCCAGGGGTGCCGGATCTGGGAAGAGAAGGTGCTCCAGGCTCCCATCCCCCCAATAACCGGTTGTCACGTGCCCCACAGCACAGGGCAGGTGGGCGAGGATTTCCCAGGAGACGGAACTTGGGGCTCAAAGTCCAGAAAAGCTGGACACAGAGCAACACAGACAAGGCTGTCACGTGAGGGAGTGTTTAATCAGCTCGGAGCATCTAGGAATTGAGGCTCTTCAACTTCCAAACCAACCCAGGCAACACCCACATCACCCCAAAGGCATCCTCCCCAGGGGAGAAACTGAGTCAGAGAGCCTGAGAGTGCTTCCTTCTGCGGGGCTCTGACCAGTTCTGGAGAGGAAGCAGCAACAGCAGCGCTGGGCCGAGCTGGTTCTCAGGTAGCACCGGGGCCGGAGAAGGTCTAGGCCAACAGGCATCAGCCAGAGGAAGAGAAATCAGGCAGTGGGTCATAGTGACACTGCCAAGAGATTGGCGAGGTCTGGGGGCTTGTCCTGACGCACTCTGGTGGCACTGCGGTCACAGCACACAGCTGCTAGCCAAGAGGTCGCTGGTTCGAGCCCACCACTGCTCCACAGGAGAAAGGTGAGGCAGTGGACTCCCCGAAAGACTTCCGGCTCTGACAGCCCAGCAGAATGTTCTCTGTGCTCCAGGGTCACCACAAGCCTTCGTGAGGGAACAGGGGGCCTCCGAGGCCTCTCAATGGAGCCACTTCATCATCCTTGGGTCCAAGGTGTTGTGCATAGGGTGTGGAAGGGGCGTTGGACATCTCTGGGGGCTGCCTGGAGGCGGTGGCCGGAAGCCCTCACATGGCCGTGTTCTTGCCTCTGCTGTCTGTGCTGTCCTCTTCCTCCTCCAGCTCCAGCCCCAAGTTGCTCCTCCCTTCCTTGCCAGCCTTCTCCTTGGTCTTCTCGGCCTCTTCCTCCTCGTCTTTCCTGTCCTCTTTCTCCTTCTTCTTCCTCTTCTCACCCTTCTCTTCTCTGTTGTAGGAACGAGAGAGAGAGAAGCAGACTCGAGTGAAAAGCAGGGTTGCTCCGTTTGACGGACACTCCCCTGGGCCAGGCCTTTGTGACAAGTGTTTTATCAGCAGTATCTGTGCAGGCATCCGAGCACTTACGGAACACTTACACCCCAAAACAGCCCTGAATGGTCTTCTGAGTTCTCATTTACGAAGGCCAAAACCAAGGCTCACTTGCCTCATCTAGGGCGATGAGGGATGGTGGATGGATGGATGGATGGATGGATGGATGGATGGATGGATGGTGGATGGGCGGGTGGATGGACAGTGAATGGATAGTAGATGGTGGATAGTGGGGTGCTTGGACGGTGGATAGATGGATGATGGATGGACAGTGAATGGATAGTGGATGTGTGAGTGGGTGGATGGACAGTGGATAGATGGATGGATCAATGGAAAGATGAATGGATGGATGGATGGTGTGAATGGATGGTGGATAGATGAATGGATGGGTGGATGGGTGGATGGATGGATGGATGGATGGGTGGATGATGGATGGTGTGAATGGATGGTGGATGGTAGATGGGTGGGTGGATGGTGAATGGGTGTGGATGGACAGTGAATGGATGGATGGATGGATGGATGG